TACATTATTTATAGATGCTAGCATATTTATGCCATAGATGGTCTTACGTTTACCCCAGTTTGTTTTTGATGATCTTTATAGTTTTAGATTTTTACATCAAGGTCCTTGATCTAACTTGAATTCAGTATTGTTGTTTTTTTAAATTTTATTATTTTTGTGTGTGTGTGCCATCAAATCGGATCTGACTGGTACAGGAGGAGATTGTCCCTCCTTCCACAGCAGAGCATCTGGTGGATTCGAACTGTGCGCCTTTGGGATTGCAGTGCAGCTTCTTGCCACTAGGCCACCAGAGCTCTCCTTTGAGCTCACTTTTTAATATGATGTGAAGTGTAAGTCCTATTTCATTTTTGCTAACATTATTTGTTAAAGAGGTCCCACGTAATGTATTTCCTTCTATTCCATTGATTGAATACCTGTCATTGTATCAGTCAGTATGACATGACTGTGGCTGTTTTGAGGTCCAGAAGTGTGAGACTTCCTAATTTTTTTTTCTTCAAGGTCTCTTTCCCTTAATTATATAGTTAGTGATAAGTTTTTACATTTCTTTGATAAATGATGATCCATATGATTTGTATAGGGACTGCATTATATCTGTAGATTGCTTTTGGTAGTATTGCCATTTTCACAATGTTAAACCTTATTAAAAATTTTTTTTAATGTTAAGCCATTTCATGTATGTTGGTAGGTGCTGTTGAGTCGAGTACGACTCATATTGACCCTGTGAACAAAAGATCTGAACCCTGTTCTATTCTGCTCCATCCTCAACACTTCTTGATTCACAAGAGCCCATTGTAGCAGTCACTGTGCCAGTCTACTTGGTTAAGGGTCTTCCTCTCCTTTGTCATCCCTCCATCCTTCCCAGCCTCATGTCGTTCTCCAAGGAATAGCTGCTCCTAAGAACATGCCCAAAGTTTGTGAGGCGAAGCCTCATCATTCTTGTCTCTGAAGAGCACTCCAGCTGCATCCTCTCGAAGACATAGCTGTTTGTGGCATCAGTTCCTTTTTTGTCATTCTAATTCATTGTTCAGTTCATAGATGCATAGCTAGTAAATGGAAAGACCCTGACCTGAACCAGATGCACTTTATTCCTCAAACTGACATCATTACTCCTCAGTAATTTGGAGAGGTCCCTAACTGCGTATTGTCCCACTGCAATGCATCTCCTTATTTCCTGACTGCTTGTACCAGGGTTGTTAATTGTGACTCCAAGCAAATGAGGCTACTAACAGTTTCAATCTCCTTTCAATGGACATTCATGATGCTGCTTATCGGTCCACTGGTAAGAATCTTTGTTTTCTTGGCATTGAGACACAATCCATACTGAAGGCTGCATTCCTTGATCTTCTACAACAAGTGCTTCAAGTCCTCTTCACTTTCAGCGAGCTAGGTTGTGTCATCTGCATAATGCAGATTATTGATGAATCTTCCTCCAATCTTGATGCCATACTCCTCTTCATAGAGTCTAGATTCTTGGATAATTTGCTCAGCATACGGATTGAATAGGTATGGAGAGAAAATACAACCCAGTACACTCCTTTCTCAGTTTTAAACCATACAGTGGTTCCCTGCTTTGTTTGCACAACAGCCTCCTGGTCCAAGTAGAGGTTTTACATGAGCACAATTAAGTGCTCTGGGATTCCCATTCTTCTCAGTATCAGCCATAGTGTGTTATGATCCATACAGTCAAATGTCTTTGCATAGTTAATAAAGCACAAATAAGACATTCTTCTGATATACATTACCTTCAGCCAAGATCCGTCTGACATCAGCAGTGATATCCCTGGTGGCATGACATCTTTCTTGTAAATCCTGCTTGAACATCTACCAGTTCCATAGATACAGATTATAGATATAGATGTATACTGTTTTAGCCATTTTTGAATGATCTTCAGCAGTATTCTGCTTCCATGTAATATTAAAGATACTGTTCTGTAGTTTCCACATTTCATTTGCACCACCTTCATTGGGAATGGGGTCAAATACAGACCTCTTCCAGTCCATTGACAAGACAGTTGTCCTCCAAATTTCCTGGCATAGACTGGTGATTACATCCAAGGCTGCATCTGTTAATTAAAACATGTTAAAATTGGTATCCCATCGATTCCTGAGGCCTTATTTTTTGCTAGTGCTTTCAGTGCAGCTTCTACTTTCTCCTTCATCACCATTATCTTTTTTGCTCATATGGTACGTCCTGAATTTTTTCAGTATCAATCAGTTCTTTCTGGTACAGTGATTTTGTCTATTCCCTACATCTTTTTTTTTTTTTTTAAATGCTTTCTAGGTCATTCAATATATTGCCCATAGCATCTTTCAATATTGCAACACAATTTAGTTTTTCAGAAAGCTTGGGAAATGCAGAGAGAGGTCTTTTATAAGGTTAATGTATAGGCATGTTATATTTTTTTCATTTATGTAGATTTCTTGTAGTTGCATTTTTGTAGTTTTCCCTTTATAGGTGATTTGTATCTCTGAATTATATTTCTTTGCATTTATATACCACACTTTCACCCACTCAGTTGAAGATTGTGTTGTTCTTACTCCTTGGCTATAAAGAATAAATGCTTCCATGAACATTTAAGTTACATGCTTTTGTATGAACATGTGTCTTAGTGCTGCTATAACAGAACCACCACTGATGGGAAGCTTTTACAAACAAATGTATTTATTTTCTTATAGTTTAGGAATCTAGAAGTGCTAATTCAGGTTACCAGCTCTAGGGAAAAGCTTTCTCTCTCTCTTGACTTTGTTCTAAAGGTCATTTGCTGTTCAGTGGCTTGGTGATATTTTGGTTCTTTGCACTTGTTTACTATTGTGTTACATTCTTTTAATTTGTTCATGATACATGTTTATGTTGCTCCTTTGAATTGGTCATCATTTCTACTTTCTTTGTGTCCCAGAATGACAGTGTGTTGACTTTCTTAACTGTCCATATGCACATATCCATATGCAAGCACAAATTTTTGTGAACGAAAACAAACAAAAATGTCTTAAGTAGCGGCAGACTTCAGACTTTGTTCACTATTCCTTGTAAAAATCTTGATTCAGATTGGAGTGAGTCATTCTTCAGTGACTTGAAGATAATCAGTTCCTTTCTTGCTTTGTTAGAGCACCAATTCAGGCTCCACTGAAGTCCCAGGTTTTTCAGGCTTCACTCAGAGTAGCCAGAACTTAAACCCTTGACAGTCGTCTTAGAAAGTATGTCTTACTTCACTAGAAACCACCTGTTGGCGACTTTCTTAGTGAACAGAGATATATTGGCTTGCATAGGTATGTTACACTGGTTCCATATAGCTATGTATAACACTAGGAAGGAATCAGAGAAAGGCAGTAGAAGATGAAATTTTCCTTTGGTTTAAAATATTACCTTCCCTACCCCGCTTTCCTAATTCAACCCCTGCTTATTGTTGTTTCTTATCTACCTGTTTAGAGTTTACAGAAGGGAGCACTGATTTCTAGTTTATTTTTTTGATACTTATATGCGAGGGTAAGATGATGCTGCCATCTTGCCAGTGTCTTCAGTGTTTCTTTATTTTGAATGGGCTATAATTTCCAAGGGTTGGTGTGGTAGTTTGTGTGTGTCTGTGTGCCTTGCAGTTTTTGTTGTTGTAGACTGGACATTGTTGTTGCTGGTAGGTGCTATTCAGTTGGAACCTACTGATAGTTTGACAGTCCATCAGATTTTCAGAGGCTGTAAATCATATGACAGGAAATTGACCATGTTTTCCCCAAGGAGCAGCTGGTGGATTCAAACCACTTGCCTTTGACTTTGCAGGGAAACGCCTTACCCCTAGGCCACCAGAGTTCCCTAGACTGGACTTTGTTGTTGTTATTTACCCTTAGAGTTGGAACCAATGCACAGATGACCCTCCAGCAGGTTTTCACAGCAGTTAATTGCATGCGAGGAGATTGTCTGTTCTTCTTCTGGTGGATGTGAACCATGTGCTTTTGGGTTGTGAGTGCAACACCTTCTCACTCAACCAGAGTGGACATTAGAGTATTGTAATATGTTGCTTACAAGCATTGTGCTTTTTCAGTTCTCTTGTATACAGAATGTTTTCAAAGGCCCTATATTCTGCCAGAACTCTAAAGGTGTTCACTGCATGCTTGCTTATTGCTTTCCTCTCCCCATTCTCTCTTAATTCTGATTTAGACCAGACCAAGAGTTAAGTTTATCAGAACTTGTAAACAGATCAGAAGAGTTTGTCAGCAAAGTTTTCTCTAGTATTCTGGATCTAGAGATTGGGTGTTTTTTTTTTTAAAGTAGTAGATTATCTCTACAGTATCTTGCTTGTTATTGTGTCAGGAATAGAAAGAGAACAATGGAAAAGAAAATTTTTCTTATTTTTAGAGTTTAATATTTGCATATAGTGTGCACATCCTACCACATATTTTAAATCATCTCTATGAGGATTCATTGGCTTTGATTTCCTCCTTACTGCTTTGTGGTCTCGGGATGACTCTTGCAGTGTTCGTGATTGTATACAGAATTAGGCTAGAAGAATAGAATAATCATAGGATCAGGCAAACTATTTAGGAAAGCAAATATTTTCCGAGAACATGTCCCCATTTTATCCCCAGAACAAACTTCTGAGTAGATAATCTCCCCATGCCCCATCATCTACAAATTGGAAAGCAAGTTTCTGCCTCATAACCCACCATCAGGAACTGCTAAATTTAAATTAGGATTTTGTTTGCATAGAAGAATATTTGCCACCTCAGAGTTCAATAAATGAACTTAACTGCTTGAAAGAAAGGTCTTTGTTTCTTAATATGGATGAGAATTCTCAATGTGAAGAATTGGTTAAGACGTTCATTTATTATGTGTGTGTTTAAAGAAGCAATATGTTGATTTAACTGGTCATAAATATTTTCAGTCCACATTGTTGTCTTTTAAAAAAAATCTTTATTTTGCCTTTGGAGTGGATTACAAATAAAATGAAATATTTTTTATTCATCAAGATCTGTTTTTTATTCTTTTGTGTTTCTTTTCTTTTCCATAGAATGTTGGCTCAACTAAGAAATACCAGCAAGATAAATTCAGCCCTGTGGTAAGTATCGCTAACACCTTTTGAGAGAGGGCGATTGGTTTTTTGCCTTTTTTCCCTTCTTGGTTGGCTCTTTTTTTCCTTCATTATGATTGTGGTATTCTTATATCTATGATGCTATATCTTTTACAGTAGGGCTTTTTATAACAAGACTGAAATTTGCAGTTATCAGTCCCATTCTTGATTAGTTATTGTTCACACTAGGTAAGACTTTTTGTTTTTGTTTCCTAGTATTACTGTATAATTAAGAATTATTTTAGGTGATTTTAGTCATTCACTACCGATAATGGTATATTCCTCTGTCCTCAGGAAATAAAGCTCCTCTCCTTTCTTACCTTAGCAGTTGGTGATGCAGCACATTTGTAAGAGAAAAGGAAGACCTGACAATTTGCTCCAGTAAAGTGCATAGCCCAGGAAACCCTATAGGGTAGTTCTGCTCTGTCTTAGAAGATCACTGTGAGTGATTCTTAGAGTCAGATGTGGTGATACGTGGTCTAAGATACTTTGGACATATTGTCAGGAGGAGTCAGTTCTTGGAAAAAGACAAAAACATCATGTTGGGAATGTTGAGGATCAGATAAAGAGAGCAATACCTTCAACAAGATAGATTGACATAGTGATATTAACAGTAGGCTTGAGCTTGTGAGGATGGCCCAGGACAAAGTTCAGAGCTTTTTAATTGACTCAGTGATGCATAACACCAGGTTGAGTCAGAATTGATTGGCTAGCTTTTCTTACCTTTTTGATAATTTTAGTCAACTCTTCTTCAATTTGAGGCCTGAATGGTCTTTATACAACTTATTTTCAGTTTGTTTCCTTTTGAGAGGTAGACTTTATATACCTTCCTAAGAACTAAAACATCTGATTTCCATTTTCTAATTCATTTTCCATTTTGAGAAATTCCTCATGTTCCTCTTTCTATCTGCAGTAAGATCTTTTTTTACTAATAGCACTACTTTAAAATCTTGGAAGCTGTACTACCTTCATTAGTAATTTGCCTTCTAAACCCCATTTGAAATGGATTCATACAGTAACTGAGACAACGGGGATAGGTGTGTTGGAATCAGTGAGACTGGCTCCGGATAGGGCAGGTTTCAGAGCTATTGTACATAGGCTCACTATGAATCACAGGTGGTATAACAACAACAACAACAGACTGTCTTAAATTTTAAGTGCTCTCTCTATATGTTGTAGTTATGTACCATCAAGTTGAAACTAACTCATAGCTGACCTTTCAAGAGTTTTCAGAGACCAACCAAACTCCCTCCTACATGTATTCTACATTTAGAATGAATACAGTCTTTTAAAAATCACTCATCCTTAGAGCCACTGGGCACAAATTAAAATGAATAAAGCCATATATATTTTAGCAGCGTGAAAATCTGTCCTGTTAATAGTCACACTTAATGTGAACAAACTAAATATACCAATCAAGAGAAAAAGAGTAGCAGAATGGATTAAAAAAAAAGTCCATCAGTATATTGTCAACAAGAGACATATCTAAAAAATGAAGGACTTAAAATCTAAGGCTGGGGGGGAGGGAATACTAAGCAAATGGCATCCCCAGAAAAGCAAGAGTGGCAAAACTAATCTCTGATAAAATAGACTTAACAATGAAAATCACTGTAAAAGATAAGTAAAGGTACTAGATAATGATTAAAGTCACAGTAGATCAAGAAAATAGAACATTGGTCAACATCTATGCATCAAATGATAGACCTGCTAAATACATAAAACAGTTATTCCCAGAATTGAAGAAAGAAATAAACAGCACCACAGTAGTGATAGGAGACTTTTAACACACAACTCTCACCAAAGAATAAGTCAACTCAAAACTTTACAGAGATGCAGAAGACCTAAGCTACACACAGTCAACTTGTGGATGTATTCTGAGCACCTCACCAAACTGAAATTCAATTCACTTTCTTCTCATGTGCATGTGGTACATTCTGCAGAATTGATCACATATTAAGGCACAGAGCAAATCTCAACAAATTAAAAAAACATGTGGTTGCTGTGATGCTAAACACTGTGACACTGATGTGTCAGATACAATAATGGTTACCCATGGTGGACAGTGTTTGGTGGAGCTTCCCAGTTAAAACAAGATTGGAAGCAGGAGTGGCATCCACTTCCAAAATGGCTTGCCTCTGGAAACTTTATGAACGTGGAAAAACTATGTAAGTTACACAAGTGTTCAGGTCTTTCCTTCATAGGGTTGATATGAGTCGTCTATGACTTGACGGCACTTAACAGTAATAACAGCAACAACATAGAGCTTTGTTGGCTTAGTGGATAGAAAGTGTTGCTACCAAGCCAAAGGTGGGTGATTTTAATCTGTAGCCCTCAGGCCTGGTTTTAATTGGTTTTGGTCAAATATTCTGCTAAGTGGTATAGCACTGGTCTGTCCATTTGCTGTACAGAGGTAACTTGTGGTTGTTGTGATGCTAAACACTGTGACACTGATGTGTCAAATGTGATAATGTTTATCTGTGGTGGAGAAACGATGAAAGTTATACAAGTGTTCAAGTCTTTCATTCATAGGGTCTCTGTGAGTTGTCTGTGACTCGATGGCACTTAAAAACAACAACAAAAAGCCAAAATAATACAAAATATCTTCTCAGATCACAATGTCATAAAACCAGAAACTAGCCATAATAGGTTAAAACTTATAAAGCCACGAATGTGGAAGCTAAATAACACCCTGCTAGAACATGATTGGGCTATAGAAGAAATAATGGTTAATAATGGTTTATTGGGTTAATTAAAAAAGTTCCTCAAAACAAATGATAATGAAAATACAACATACCAAAACCTCTAGGTTGCAGTTCAGTCAGTTCTTGGGGCAGTTCATAGCAGTAGCCAAAAAGATAAAAAAGGAAGAAGAAGCAAAATTAATGCTCTAACTCAGTACTTTCATCAAATAGAAAAAAAAAGCAAAACAACACCCCAATAGTCTATCCCGGCAGTCTCTGGAAGAATGGAAATTCTAAGAACAAGGGCTGAAATTAATGAGCTAGAAAAACAATTGACACCATCAATAAGACCAGGAGCTATTTGGGTTTTTTGTTTGTTTGTTTTGTTTTTAAAGAGTCAATAAAATGACAAACTGTTGCCATACTTAACAAAATAAGAAATGAAGAAGACATAAATTAACTTAAGGAATGAGAGAGGTGACACCACAACAGAACCAGAGGAAACTATAATACTGGAATATTATTAAAAGCAATTCTCTGATAAATTTGAAAACTTACAAGAAATGGACACTATTCCTTGATACTGTTAGAGCTAGTAGACCAATTTAGTAGAGTTACAGGATATAAGATCAATATCCAGAAATTAATAGGATTCCTCTACAATAACAAAAACTAAGAGAAGGAAGCCAAGAAAGGAATACCATTTACAATAGCCAACCACAAATCAAGATCTTTTGGAGTGAAACTAACTAGAGCACAAAAGACTTGTACAAAGAAAACTATAGAAAAATGTTCCTGGTTAATAGGAAGAACCAAGAAAGGAATTCGATTAACAATAGCCAGCCACAAATTGACATACTTGGGAAGGAACCTAACTAGAGTACAAAAGACTTGTACAAGGAAAACTGTAGAAAAATGTTCCTGGTAAATGGGTGGGAAGACTCAGTATTGTGAAAATGACAATCCTACCAAAAGCAGTTCACACGTTCAACACAATCCCAATACAGATATCCAATTAATTTTTCAAGGAGATTGAAAGGGAAATTATCAAGTTTATTTGGAGATGAAACACCCCAGATAAGTAAAGCATTTCTGAAAAACATAAATGAAGTGGGAGGCACAGCACTTCCTGACCTCAAAACCTGAAATACTGAAATACCTCAATGACAAATACTATAATGCCACTGTAGTAGAGCAGGACTGACATCGGGGTTGGGAGGAAACTAAGAAAAGAGAGGGTAAATAATGTATACTGCATTGAAACAGATGAGGGAAAGAACTGTTTGAAAGGAATATATGGTTGGAAATCCAAAGTCTCTATAAACTTTCATTAAAATTTCAGTTAAAAAAAACCCTACTATATAGCAGTAGTAACCAAAACATCGTGATACTTTTAAAATGACAGGCACATAAACCAATGGAACAGAACTGAAAACCCAGAAATGGACCCATCTTCTATGGTCAACTGAAATTTGACAAGGAAATCTAACCTATGAAACAGGGAAAGGACAACCCCTTCAACAAATGGTGCTGGCAAAACTGAACTGTTAACTGCAGAAAGCTGAAACAGGATCCACATCTCACACAGTACACAAAAAGCAACTCAAAGTGGATGAGAGACCTGGGAATAAAGCCCCAAACCATAAAGATCAAAAGAGACAAATTGGAATCAAACTTAGAAAGCCCAGTCTACAGTATAAAGAGACTACCAAACATAGCCAGAAATGCGTAAACTGGAGAGGATAAAATTGTTGAATGGGACCTTCTAAAGATTAAATCTCTGTATTCATCAAAATCTTTTTCCAACAGAGTCAAATGAAAATCTACTGACTGGGAACAAACATTTGGCAATGCCATATCAGTCAGGGTTCTCATATGAAAGTGTACAGAATCCTGTTGGGCCTCCAGTTAGAAAAAGACTGATAATCCAATTACAGAGTGGGCTATAATAGACATGGAGAGACTTTTCACAGAGCAGGGCATTCGGGTGACTAGTAAACAGATGAATAAATGCTCAAAATCACTGGCAATAAGAGAGATGCAAATCAATACTACAGTCTTACTTCTGTAGCAGTGGTAGAGTTTAACAGGGCAGCAAGTAATACATATGACCCAACTATTTCACTGTTTGGATTATACCTTGAGAAAATGAGACCTGAGGCACAAATGGAGACTTGCACACTAATGTTTATAGTAGCATTATTCATCATAATAAGAACTTGATAACAGCCCAGATACCCAACCACGATGGAATGGATTGAGAAATAATGGGAAATTCACACGATGAAATACTATGCAGCCTGCAGGAGGAGTGATGTTGTGAATTACTAACTAACATGGGGGGGGGGCGGTGTGACTGGAGAACATTATGTTGAGTGAACTAACTCAGTCTCATAAAGCTATATAAGATCATTATTGTAGAATGAGTATTAGGATCAAAGGGGGGGGCCTTTGACATAGGGTAGCACAGTTGATGTGTAGAAGGAGTGGTGGGTAAAGGAAAGGGAAATTATCAGGTGTGAAAAACAACGTATATGAACTTTTTAAGTAAACCAGTATATATTTTTTTTAAAAAAGAGTAAAAAAAAATCTGAGATCTATTGTGAACCTTTTGAAAAACAAAGGTAAGGCCAATATTTAAATTAAACAAAATAGACCTGAGCATAGATAATCCTTTTTATTTGGAAGAGTCTTATAATACTTAAAGGATAATTGATGTCTCATCACTGATTAATCTACTTGTGTGAAATAGATTCCACTTCATAGGGTTCTTCCATCAAGATTGTGCATCTTTTTCTCTTAAAGCAACTGTTATTTGAATTTAGACTTTTAGGTTAGTAGTTGAGTTACATTATGCATTCAGTCACCAGGCCTGTTGGGTAATTAATTGTGGTAGTTGTGGTTTTAAGTGTGGTTGACTACAACTCATAGCAATCATATGAAAAACTGATCTGCGCACTGTTCTATCCTGCAGCATCCTTATCATCCTCAACACATTTGAGCCCATTGCCATTGTCCATTGATTGTATCATTCCATCACTTTGAGGGTCTTCATCTCTTTCACTGACCTTCTACCCTCCCAAGCATCATTTCCATCTCCAGCAAATAGCCTTTCCTCACACTATGTGAGGCAAAGCTTTGCCATTCTTTCCTTCAAGAAACATTGTATTTACGCTTTCTCCAAGGCATATTTATTTTTTCTTTTGACAGTCCATGCCAAAATAGCTGGTAAGGAAGACCAGTTCATAACAAAAACAGTACATGAGAAAGTTTAGAAATAGAATTCTTTTCAACAAAAATTGAAGAAAAATCTTTTTGCACGAAAACTTTTCCTCTCCGGAGCTAATAAACAGATTCAAAGCACTGTTTTCTTTAGAAACATATAGCTAATTCATATAGTATTTTGTAAAGTATTTCTATGGTGATATTTAATTAGAAAACCAGTAGACAAAAAAAAAAAGTAGACATAAATCTGGGTATTAAACCACTGTTAAATATATTTCATTGTATGTGCTTAGCTGTGGTATATGAATGTGTATGCTTTAATTACATTTATTTTTATCTTACTATTACAGTGTCTAAAAATGACTACAAAACGAAGTTTGTTTGTGCGGCTGGTACCATGTCGTTGTCTACGAGGGGAAGAGGAAACAGTAACTACTCTGGATTATTCTCATTGCAGTTTGGAACAGGTTCCCAAAGAAATTTTTACTTATGAAAAAACCTTGGAGGAGCTCTATTTAGATGCTAATCAGATCGAAGAGCTTCCAAAGGTACGTTAACACTGCCAGGAATTAACTATAGTTACTTGTATGTCATTTTAGAATAAAAATATTCTTAGTTTTGTTATCTATTTGTGGTGTGTTTACTTTCTGTTTGTTTAAATTTACCTCATCTCCATAATTCAAACTTCAGTAGATTTAACGTTTTTTTTTTGTTTTATTTCTTCTAATTTATTATGTAAATATGTGTGCAGATTATGTGAAATTTTATATTTTACTCCCACTGTATTATAGTCACTTTCTCTGTACCATCAAGTCAAAACTGACTCATAGTTGACCCTGTAGCAAGTTTTTAGAGGCAGTAAATGGCTCAGGAGGAGATTGCTCATCTTTCTTCCATGGAGAAATATGCCTTTATATCGGTAGCACAATTCTTTACCACTAAGCCACCAGAGGTCTCTATTATAGTCACTGTTGTAGTTAGGTGCCATCAAGTTGAGTATGACTCATAGCGACCCTGTGTACAATAGTTTCACAATCTTTGACACACTCCATCCCACTTCTGCATTCCCTCAATTTAGAGCTGCCTCCCTTAGAGTCTGCCTTAATATGCCTTTATCCAGTGAATGACTTTGATTTGCTGATGTTGTGTAACTGAAAATGAGAATAAACAACTGCATATATCTTTTCATTATTAGAGTAAGCAATGTACCAAGTTTCCAATATAGGAAAAGTGGAAATTTTCAAAACTGAAATGGAACACCTAAAGATTAGTATCCTAGACATTAATGATTTGAAATGGACTAGTGTTGGCTATCTTAAATCAGTCAGTCATATGATCTTATATGCCAGGAATGACAAAGAGGAATAATACCACATCAATTTTGAATAGTACATGGGCAACTGGCTGGAAAAGGTCCATATTTGTCACCATTCTAAAAAAATGTGATCTAACTAAATGTGGAGATTATCGCACAAGTATCACTAGTATCACACTGAAGCAAATCTTGTTGAAGATCATCCAGGAATATTGGATCAATACATCAACAGAGAACTGCCAGATATTCATGCTGGATTTAGAAGAGATAGTAGCAGCAGCATTATGTCATTGCTGATGTCAGATGAGTCTTGGCTGAAAGTGGGGAATACCATAAGTATATATATTTGTGCTTTATTACATTTAAGGCAATTGATTATCTGGCTCCTAACAGGTTTTAGATAGTATTGAAAAGAATGAGAATCCCAGAATACTTACTTGTTTGTGCTCATGCAAAACCTATATCTAGACCAAGATACTGCATGATTTCAAAATCAAGAAGGATGTATGTCAGGGCTGTATTCTCTCTCCATACTTAATGAAAATCATACTAGAATCTAGACTCTGTGAGAAAGAATGTGGCATCAGAATCAGAGGGTTATGTAGATGACACAACTTTGCTTGCCAAAAGTGAGTAGGACCTCATTTATTGCAGAAGGTCAAAGACTGTAGCCTTCAATATGAATTATATCTGAACATCTAGAACACACACAAAAAAATCACTGGGCCAATAGACAGAATCATGATAGATGGAGAGACAGAATAGTTAATGATTTTGTTTTGCTGCTGTTATTATTATGAGCTGTCGAGTTGAGTACAACTTACAGTGACCCCATGAACAGCCAGCCAACCTGAAACTTGCCCTATTCTATGCCATCCTCATCACCTCTGAGACACTAGAGCCCATTGCTGAAATGATGTCAGTCCATGTCATTGAGGCTCTTCCTCTCCTAATCTTACATTCTATCTTTCCAAACGTGTCCCTTTTCAAGGAATAACCTTGCCTAGCTGCTAAGACTCCCAATAAATACAGTTAGCAGCAGTCAAGAAATTAAAAAAAAATGTGTAGTGTTGATAACTTGTGGGGTTAGGGACCTCTCCAAGGTACTGAGGAACAGCAATATTAATTTGAGTGTTAAGCTGTGCCCGACCTAAGTGTGATCTTTTCAAATGCTTCCTATGTATCAGCAAGTTGGACGTGAAATAAGAATGGCAGAAGAAAATTAGTATCTTTGAATTAGGGTGTTGGAGAAGAGTGCTGAATGTCCCATGGACTGCCAAAAAACCCTTGGAGAAGGTATAGCCCCAGTTCTCCCTAGGGATGGATGATGAAACTCTGTCTCACATACTTTTTGGTCCTGTGATTGTAAGGAATCAATGACTTGTTGACATCGAGTCAGAACTGATTCATAGTCTCCCTTCCAGTGGTTTTTGGAGGCTGTCTGTAAATCACATATGAGGAGATAGCTTATTTTTCATCTGCTGGATTTCAGCCACAAGAGAGGTTTCAGCCTTTTGGTTAGTTAGCACCAGAACTCCCTAATTTTAAGAGGAGTTCTTTGAAAAGATATCTTAAAAATTCTTTTTATTGTAAATTTAAGATGAGCTATCTTTAACAGATATGTGAGTCCATTGCTTCCTTTTTTGCAGGCTGTATTTTTAACTATAAATTTTCTGTATGTACATTAGTTGTTGGGGAAAAATAGTCTATATGTGAAGTACACATGTTCCACATTTGAAAAACACGCACCCCTATAATTTGGATTGCTAGATTTAGCAAATAAAAACATGGAACACAGAGGTAGATTAGACTTTCACTGCCAACCTAGTGGTGTTTGGTTTGATTTTATTTCATCAGCTTGCTCCATGGGAAAAAGATGGGCATTTGCCTTCCATGTGACTTGTTGCTTCTGAAAACCTGTTGACATGTCACCCATAGATCGGTTCCAATTTGAGGGTACATAAACAAACAATCTTTTTATATCAATATTCCCATGCAATATTCATTCCACAGTTTACCTGATTAAAAGATAACTTACATTAAAAAATGGTCACTTATGTATTTACTTTTACAGCGTAACAGAGAATAAAGTAACATGTTTTATTCTTACTAAATGCACTTTGCTCCTAACAGAAGTATGAGAATGTGTAAACCGTTGAGTGTTGCATTATATTCATGGTCATAATTCTTTTACAACAACAATTTCTTATAGAGAGAAATAAGAGAACTTTCCTGCCCATTCTGGTATTTTTAGAATGAGTATGTCTTTGTGTGAATAAGACTCATTTGATGGTAAGACTTATCTGTTTGCGTAAAAGTCAGTAGGTGAAATAATCAAGGAAATGAAATAGATAACCAAAATGCTTTCCTTCTTTTTTCAATAGCAACTTTTTAACTGTCAGTCTCTACAAAAACTGAGTTTGCCAGATAATGATTTAACAACATTACCAGCATCCATTGCAAATCTCATTAATCTCAGGGAACTGGATGTCAGCAAAAATGGTAAGATGTCTTTTTTCTATTTTTTTGTGCCTGTTACAAAGGTTTATTGTTTTAACAAGAAAGAAAAAGCAAGAATGTAATGTATAAAAAATTTGTTTTTATCCGTGAAGAAAAGTTGCTGTTTGTAGAGTGCTTAAGCACTTGACTGTTGAACCCCCTGACCATTTCAAGAGATAATGATTTGTCAGTTTGCTCAGAAACTTTATTCTGTCCTATTGGGACAGAATTGACTCATTTGCCATGATGGTAATAGTGGGAGTAAATAAGTATTTTCAGTGAATGTGAAAGTACTTACCCTTTTTGTTTAAAGATTGTGTATCTTATATCTAAGTATAGCAGAATATAATATTTTGTATTATAATTTTTAGCTTGGTACTTGTTATGTGCATGCATAGCTACACAACACACACAGACACCAAGAGAACAGTGTTGTCTCATGCTTAAAGCATGGTAGAGAATAAGCAGTAAGGTTGAAAGTAATTTTTTAAAAAAAATTAACTTTTTAATAAAATACTGTTACACATAAATATAAAATATCTTCATACATTTTCATTGCCCTGTTTGTAATGATGAGAAATTGGTAACAGCTGCATTTTCTGTCATTTATGATGTAATGTTAATTAAAACCATCATGTATCCATCAGTACTTACTTGAAAAATTTACAGTGCAATATTAAAGATAAAAAGTTGGAGAACATTAGAAATTAACATGATCATTTAATAAATACTTTTTTGAGTCTCATCTGTGCCAAGTAGGGTTTTTCAGAGCCTGGATTACAATTAAAATGGAAAACTAAAAGCACATGAACATTGCCCATCTGCAATATTAGTCTTCTCTTTGTGGTTTAGTGTACTATACATCAGAAAAATTTCTAAGATATGTTCCAGAATATTAAGAATTTTCCTTTGTCAGAGGTGAAGCTAAGGCACTTAAAAGTTTTTATATTGAATTTGTCTTTCTTCTTTCAAAAAAGAAAGAAAATTTTATGAGCATAATTTTAAATGCTCAAAGACTTGAATTTCAATGAATAAGTATGAAGTACTTTTTTATAATGTTCAGAGAAAAGCATTATAAATGTTTCTGAATAGGTTATTACAGTGGCACCAGCTGAGCAGTTCTATTCCATATCCCTCAATTCCAAAGTCAGCCCAACTTTGTTCTAATAATGCGGTTTTCTAGCAGTAACTGTCATATCAATTCTGCTAAATTTAGAAATTTAGTATGATCTTAAGACTGATTTAAAAAGTCATCCTATTTTCACAGTTAAGTTTATTTTGACTAGTGAATTAAGTAGATATCACCTTGCTTGCCCAAAGGGAATAGCACTTGAAATATTTGCTGCAGAAAATCAAAAAACTACATACAGCCTTAATATGCAGTACAACTTAACATCAAGAAGACAAAAATCCTCACCACTGGGTGATAGAAAACATGATAAATGGAGAGAAGATTGAAGTTGCTTGGAAAGATTGTCAGTGAAGGAGAGGAAGACCCTTAATGAGATAGATTGACACAGTGACTTTAACAGTAGGCTCAACTGTATCAGGTGAGGATAGTACAAGAGAGAACAAGGGTCAGATCCATTGTTCATAGAGGATGGAAGGAATACAGTCACTAGTCCTAAAAGAATTGGCTGGCACTAAAAAGTTTCAGGTTTTTCTAAGTCTTACCCCAGCCCTGATGTCAGTCCCATTCTACAACACTGGCACCATGCAATATTTGTCCTTTTGTGACTGAGATATTTCACTCAGCAGAATAATATTGCATGAGTTCCTTGTTTCTCAATGCAGCGTAGTATTCCATAGTGTGAATATACCACAGCTTCTCTATTCATTCGTTTGTTGATGGGCACCTGGGTTGTTTCCAGCTCCTCGCTATTGTGAACAAAGCTATGATAAACACGGGTGTGCATATATCTGTTTGGATGTCGTTTACGGTCTCTTTAGCGTATATTCCCAGTAGTAGAATTGCTGGGTCAAATGGTATCTCCATTTGCAACTCTTTGAGAAAGCACCATACCGCCTTCTGCAGTGGTTGTACCATTTTACACTCCCACCAACTATGAATGAGGGTTCCAGTTTGTCCACAGCCTCGCTAGCATTTGTTGCTTTTAGTGAGTCTTCCTCCAATCTTGATGCCACACTCCTTCTCATAAAGCCCTGCTTCCCAAATGATCTGTTCTGCATACATATTGAAAAGGTATGGGGGACAGGATGCATCCCTGATGTACTCGTTTCCTGATTTTGAACCATGCACTGAAGATTATCCAGCAAGATTCTACTGAAGATTATCCAAAAACGACTGGAACAGCATATCAGCAGAGAACTGCCAGAAGTCCAGGTTGGATTTAGAAGGGGTCGTGGTACTAGGGATATTGTAGCTGATGTTAGATGGATCTTAGCTGAAAGCAGGGAATACCAGAAGAATTTCTATCTGTGTTTCATTGATTATGCAAAGGCATTTGACTGTGTGGATCATAACAAACTGTGGCTGACTGTGAGAAGAATGGGAATCCCAGAACATTTAATCGTGCTAATGTGAAACCTATACTTGGACCAAGAGGTAGTGGTCAGAACAGAGCAGGGTAGCACTGCATGGTTCAAAATTGGGAAGGGTGTATGCCAGTTATGTGTCCTATCTCCATACCTTTTCAATCTGTATGCAGAGTAGATTATCCGAGAGGCTGGGCTCTTTGAGGAGAAGTGTGGCGTCAGGATTGGTGGAAGTACATAATAAGAACAAAAATTTCACTGCCATTGAGTTGATCCGGATTCTCATGGCAACCATTTACAAGGTTGTAAATCTCAGTGGAAGTAAACTGCTCATGATTTTCCTTTGGAGGTGCTGGGTTAACAGTGCAGTGAGCTTCAGGCTGCCACCAGGTACGTGCCAGCTGCAAACTTTGAGAGTGCACAATAACTTTTTTCTGACTCACAGAGCACAAATTACACATTTCCCTACTGCTTCAAGATTTCAGTCGCAAGCTGAGAGAGGCATCACTGTTACCTGCTGGTTCCCATTTTTCCCTTTATATAACGGTAATTCATTTAAATGGACTCATAGAATTTGGGGCTATGGCTATATTTCCAATAGCAAATAATTGTGAATCAAGATCACCAAAAGAAAGAAATTCATGCATGAGGTCTGAGAGAGTATCTACATTTCAAAGAAGCGTCCATATCCTAAAGACGATGTCCTCTTTTCTGTTCATGATAGGTTAAATCATGTCATCTGAAGTTAGTTGATGTTGTTAACAGGTAGTCTACTGAGCCACCATTCCCTAGAATAAATTCTCAGATACAGTCTGAAATTTTTAGATTATAAAAGATACTTCCTCAGAAAGTTCCTCAGGTAATTTTATTGATTATTTCTCAGGAACCAAGGGCAAAGTGTATTTATTTTTTATAAAGTTACTGATTACTATACAGCCAGGAAGCAGAAACAGCCAATGCCAAGGCTGTAAATTCCAAGTGTTTATAGCATGTATAAGGAACTAGAGGCTCTAGTACCTAAGAATGAACAAGATGGAACACTGTAGGAAGAGGACAGAGGTCTAGGGATTTTGAAGTACCAAATGTAGGCACCCATATGGGGAGCTCTAAGGGCTTAGTGACAAGAAATTATGCTGCCAACACAAAGATTTGTGTAGTTCGAATCCACCAACAGCCCCATCAGATAACAGTAACAATCTTTCTTCTCCTGTGATTTACTATCGCTGAAACAACAGAAATAAATATAGGGCGTATTAGCTATTGTGAGAGAAACCTCAGCTTTCACACTTAGTGAAATGTCATCGAGCTGAGGTACAACTCATAGTGGCTCTGTAAACGATAGATCTGTCCTGTCCTATCCTTTCAGTCTCTGACACAATTGAGCCCATTGCTGCAATCACTGTATCAGTCCACCTGGGAGGGGGTTTTCCCCTCCTTTGCCCTCTTACCACCTTTCCAAGCATGATGTCCCTTTCCAAGAAACAAGCTCTCCTAGTAGCATGTGCAAAGTCCATGAGATAAAGCTTGATCATCTTTGTCTTCAAAGAGCACACTGGCTGCACTTCTCTAAGACATCTGTTTATTCTTTTGGCAGTTATTCAGTATTTGGAGTTATTCAGTATTTTTCTCCACCAGCATAGTTCAACAGCATCAATTCTTCTTTTGTCATATTTATTCATTGTCCACCTCTCAGCAGCATAGCAAATGATTGAAAAGACCACAGTCTGAATCGGGCACACTTTAAACCTCAAACTAATATCATTGTCCTCAATAATTTGGAGAGGTCCCTCACTACAGACTTCCCAGTGCAAAATACCTTCTGATCTCCTGACGGCTGGTACCAAGTGTATTGATCCAGGTAAAATGAAGTTTTTAAGTTTAAATATTTTCTCCATCCTTTATGATAAGATATTGCCTCTCCAATGGTGAGAATTTTCCTTTCTTGATGTTAAAATGCAGTTCATTTTGAAGGCTACAGGATTTAGTTTACAGCATACATTTCTAGTCCTCCTCACTTTCACAAGCAAGGTTGTGTCATTGGCATAAAGAAAGTTGTTGATGAGTTGTTGATGAGTCATCTTGCAATCTTGATGCCACATTCTTCCTCATAAAGTCCAGCTTCTCGAATAATTTGCTCAGCATTTAGCTGTCACTCTTAATGAAATTGAATGTCATTTGGAAGGTTTTGAACAAGTATTTCAGAGGAGAATCTGACTTGAGTTTTATTCTGTTTATATGTAAAATGCAGATTCTAAAGAATCAGTATATTCCTTTGAATTATCTGTTTTATGACTTTACGTTTGAGGAAACAACATTTATTAGGTTGGGTAAGGTGAAAGACAGTATACAATCAGGATTTGATTGTTGCTATTATTACTAAGTGCCTTCAAGTTGAGTACAATTCGTAGTGATCCTGCAAAGGAGTTGAACCCTGCCCTATCCTGTGCCATCCTCATCATCTTTGACTCACTGGAGATCATTTTGAAAAGTCCCTGTTTCAGTCATCT